CCGAATCTGCTGAGAATACATTTTACAAACATGCAGCGAAGTTGGCCGCTTTTGTTTGGGCGTTTGTTAAGCATTAACTAAAGAATGCCATGGTCCAGCCTGCTCGGTGTGAAACCTAATTCTCCCCCTTTCTGGAGCCATGGCATGGAGTGCTCAATTTTTTTCTCTCTGTAGGACTGCAGGTACTCCAGCCAAAAAACACTCATATTTTAGCAAGCTTAGCCCCAGCCCCGTTGCCAGGCAGTAAAGCGAACACTTGTCCGCCTCGGGGGGAGGGAGCTGGAAGCCAGGGAAGGGTCAGGAGAACAGTCCCAGGGAAAACATCCCTCCTCCGTCCCACCGGAGAGCTCTCCAAGGGCTTGAGGTGTGCAAGGTGGGGAGATGAGGGCGGCTGTGGGTGCTTTCCTCCATCAGCCTGGGAGCCCAGAGACCCAGGGTGGGTTTGGAGGTCCCCAGGATGGCTGATGCCCGGTTGCTGTCCAAATTGCTCTGCCCGTCCTCAGGACACGGCCGCCTGCCCTCCGCAGCGCTGAGATGGACTCAGCCCTTTCCTGGCTGCTCCCACAGCCTTGGCACCCCTCCTGCCAGGGCTGAGGGTCCACATGGTCCCCCCATGGTTGCGGCCAGGGGATGCCCTCACACCAGGGGTGCATCCATGACCCTTCCCGGCAGTGGTCCGTGCCCCACAAGAGCCAGAGAGGGGGACAGGGTGAGGTGAGCCCAGCAGCAGCAGGACAGTGACTCGTTCCCAAGCCATGGATGCCGGGTTGACAGCAACTGGCATTTTTCCACTGCCAGCCTGTGGAGGACGCGGTGCTGCCATCCCCCCTTCTGCCGGGTGACAGTGAGCGAGAAGATGACCCAGTGCCACGACAACTCAATCCCACGTCCTCACTCACCGCTGAGCCCTGCAGCTAGCAGCCGGTGCCCACCGCCAGCCTCCTCCTTCGCCCCTCGCACGGAGCGCAGCCATCGGCTCATCCCCATCCCATGGTCACGGCTCTGGAGGTGATCACAGCTTTGCTCTCCAGAGACCGGGTGACAGTGAGCGAGAAGATGACCCAGTGCCAAGACAACTCAATCCCACGTCCTCACTCACCGCTGAGCCCTGCAGCTAGCAGCCGGTGCCCACCGCCAGCCTCCTCCTTCGCCCCTCGCACGGAGCGCAGCCATCGGCTCATCCCCATCCCATGGTCACGGCTCTGGAGGTGATCACAGCTTTGCTCTCCAGAGAGCAGTCAGTTGGGAATGGCTGTGAGCATGGCTGGGCTGGAGCTTCCCGCATCTCCAACAGGTTGGTCAGGGTCTGCTCAGGCTCCTTCTGGTTCATGGTGAGAACATGAGATGAGTTGGTCAGGTCTCTGCACCGAGGTGCTGGAAAACCCAGCATCCCTGCGGATGCGTCCGCTGCGGGGCAGCTGCTTTGTAGGGATCGGTGCCAACGGTGCCTGCTCCAGCCCTTGGCCAGGAGCCTGTGGAGTCCCTTGCAGGCTGCCCCTGCCCCTCTCACCGTGTCCCCGGGCCGGGCTGGCGCGGACAGGTAGGAAAGCATCCCTCCGTCCAGCAGAGCTGCCT